TCGATTTAACGACAGTTTCTCCTTCAAAGGGGGACGTAGGTTCGTATCCGGTCAGACGGGGCATCTTTTTATTTAATTTCTCAAATATTCAGGACAGTCGACGAAAATAGATATGTCGTTTAAAATAAACGGAGTCTGCTCTCAAATATGGATATCCATTATAAAGTGATAAAAATCTGTCGGGTTAATTAATGGAGAAAAAACCCAGTACTTCTTTAGAAAATACATTAGTTATTTTCTTTTGAATTAATGCTGATCCAATGTATAGTCCTGCTGATTCAGAGATTGAACTCACGCCCACCAAATAACAATAACACATATCTAATAGAAGTAGATAAGTTTGTCTATCGTCTGGTTCACATGCTTCTCTGGTTTTGTGAACAGGAGTAGAGATATATCCCTTGTTTCCTGTTTTGGATTGGGTTTCTGGTTGCTTCGAAAGTCTTTTCGTTCTCTCTCACTCTCAGTAGCCCCTTGCATCTTAGTGGCAATATCGCCTTCCATGGAGCGATTTGAAAAAAAAATCACATTTAACCAACTCCCATATTCACTATTTGACCCTCTCGAAGGACATCATTTTGTATTTGGAGTCTTTCAAATCCAATATCTGATGGTTTCGACATTTGGTTCTCATAGCGAGTTCGTCTTTGAGATGAAGAATTGTTAATATACTTTAATTTATTCGTAATATTCTTCTCATCTTGATAGTTATAGATGTTATTATGCGCACAACATTTCGACCAAGTATCCTGTGACCATCTTCAGGTGTCAATTATTTTTGATGATAATGGAGCTGGCACTACATGGTTTTAAAAAAAAAACAATAGACCATCATATGTTCCATGACAGCCCAAAATAATACAGGTGAAAATGGCCACAGGGTAATTAGTCGAAACATTGTGTCTATAACCCTATATAAAGCTTCGAATAAATTCAAGTACATTCCGCCATATTTCCAAAGAAGTCATGCCAATTTACTAATAATCAAGAAAAGGGATTCTGAGGAGAACTCCTGTAGATCTTTAAAAAAATGAAAAAAAAAGGCATAAAAATATAAGATTAGTAGATGTTTATGCTTTAGTTTTCGGACGTCCAGTATATATTGTGTTTTTGAAAGAAATTATGATGTACATTGAAAAGTAAATATTGTTTTAATCATTTCACCCCGAGAAAAAGAATAAAGCCACAAAGACGCAATGGCTTACTGACTGTGAAAAAATATGAGAAAAAGAAAACATTATTAAGGAGAGAGTACAATAAAAGAACAGAAATTAAGAATATAAAAGATAACGATTGACGTTGTATTTAAATCTTTGAAGATAAAAGTTAACTGGAATGCAAGTAACCTGAAGAAAGTTTCACAAGCGAGAAATAAGAGAGAAGAAACTTTTAGTATAGAAATTACGATTACATCTAGCCATTTCAACTGTAAAATGATGAGATCTTGCCGCCAATCTTGTACTGCGCTTACATTCGTAAAATTGGGGTAACAAAGATGAAAGCTCATTAAAACAATTATCATGAAAATAATTATAGAGGGAAGCTACAGTACAACGGCGGGAGAGTGACTGAAGCTGAGATACCAGGTCATGACTGATAACGTTGCAGATTCTTCTTTGTATTTTATCAAGATTCTCTAAAACGAATCTATATAACATTGCAAGAAAATCATCTTAGGGTAAGTGAAAAGATTCACCAATAATAATACTCAAGGCAAGCCTTCCTTCAAAGTTTGGTAAATTTGGAAGGGAATCTTCGACCTTGATCTCCTTCCAGAATTGGAACAAGTAGTGGCCCAAATTATACTTAACGAAGGCAGTATCTAAAGAAAAATGTTTTGGCTCAGTTAATAGAAATGGAATAATATTCCACCATGATAATGCTTGACGGAATTTTCTCTTATTGATCAGGCAAAATCTTTATCGGGAAGTTTTCACTCATTTTCCAGGTAATGCGCATCTGGATTAACGTTTATTGGGTTTTTTGGGTTTTTTTTTTCAGAATTCTTTCTACGTAAAAAAACATTCTCTTTCCTGCCAAACTTACAAATGCACCTTGAATATTTCTTTGCTGAGAAAGATAAAAGATGCTGCGAAAATGCAATTATGAAGTTACTTAAAAATGGCAGAAGTTAGTGGGTAGGAAACATTAGGAAACATTATTAGCTTTTTTCAACAATATTATGTTGTTGAATAAAGTTAATAACGACATTTAAAAAATATTTATATTAATTTCTACTAAAAAATTTAAGTAATCTATATATAAAATTCTGTAACTTCCGTTAGTCCGTCCATCCATGAGACTCTCTAAAATAGCCATATATTTGGGGAGAAATGCTAACAGGTAAGGGGTACAAAGTAAAGTTGGTTTTACTAGAGTGCATATTTTTACAATAAATTTTCATTATTTTTTTAAAATTAAAAATGTTATTATTTCACACACAAAATACTCCCTCTATTTTAAAAACAATTTAATGATTAAAATAACAAATATTTATTTAATAAAAATGCAATATTGTTATTTGCATATCTTTTCTTTAAGTTTTTATATATATATAAAAATCCAGTTTCCAGTTAGCACTGCGTTTGCAAGAACTATAAACAGATCACAAGGCCAAACGCTTCAAAAAGTTGGAATTTGGCTCAAGAGAGAAATATTTACGCATGGCCAATTGTACAGGGTACGATGGGTAAATTATCATTTTATATTTTTAATTTCGCGCATTCGCGTTGTTTATTTTCGATTTTATCCCCTGCGCAGTATAGTAGGGAAAGTTGCCCCCCCCCTCTGTGAGAAAAAGAACACAATGACTCTGGCAGAAATTTGGAAACGGCATGCTGTACTACTTAGCCTTCGAACCAGAAGTTCCAATACGAACATTTCAGAGTATTTGGGTGTCCATCTGAGAACAGTGCAGAGGAATTTAGTGTGTCAGGTGTTTTTTCGCGATTTCTTTAATGTTTTGGTCGAATGTGAGATAAGCAGACCCCCATTTCTTTTTAATGAATATTAAAACAAAGTATTTAAAATCAAATAATCGAAGAATACTGAAAAGAATTATTTGAAAAAAAAAGTTTAACACTTATTCATTTATTCAAATAGTAACACTGTACCATTGCTACTTCCATACTCACATATACTGCGTGTAACAGCAAAATTGTCCAAATACAAAATTGTTCAAATCGTGTAACAGCAAAATTGTCCAAATCGTGTAACAGCAAAAAAATTGTTCAAATCGTGTAACAGCAAAATTGTTCAAATCGTGTAACAGCAAAATTGTTCAAATCGTAACAGCAAATTGTTCAAACGTGTAACAGCAAAATTGTCCATATCATGTAACAGCAAAATAATTGTCAAAATTGTCCAAATCCCAGAAAATTGTTTAATATGTAAAAACCATATCTAAAGCATAATTGTCTATCCCAGAAAATGTTTAATATGTAAAAAACCACTAAACTAACTGAGTTTTTTTTTTTCAGGTTTTCAGATAAGACGGTTAGCCATCTTGGCCCCGTTTGTCGTAAGAATCACTGAAAAACTCTTTGAACAAATCAGCTAGAAAGAGAACAGGTTAAAATCGTTTTGTGTCATGCCCACATTGTGAGAGGAAAAACGATCATTCAGGCCTTTAGTAAGGGTACAAACATTCATACTCTGGCTTCCATCTTCAAAGTCCATTCAAGAAGATTAAAAAAGAGGGATGAGTAGAGAGGAAACCTGGATCAGTAGATCACAACAGGAAGAGGGATCATCATTTCAACTTAGAACAAAAGAGAAAAATTAGAAAAGTTCCAACTCAATTCATAAGACGCCTTTTGGCACGTGAGAGTGGAGTTTCAGCTATGACAGTCCAAAGAACAGTGGAAAATTGACTTGAAAATGAAATAATACATAAAACGTGTGAGGCACCTTGTTACTCCAGGACAGAAAGAATGTTAGAGTGGGCGAAGATCATCTTGAATAACTTGAAAAAATGATCAAAAGTAATAATATATATATATATACATATATTACTTTTTGCATCATTTTCAATATATATATATATATATATATATATATATATATATATATATATATATATATATATATATTTGAACTTTATTTCAATCCTTCATGAACTTCCGATCCTTAGCTTTGATTAATTAATGATGAACATGTCATTTTCGTTTATGATCGATTTCTTCATCTGTTAAGCTTGTAGAGTAATTATACATTGTTATTTTCTCAAAGTAGACTCCAATAGTGTTATAAAAACCTCGGAAAATTCCAGTAAGATCCTTTTAATCTTTTCTAAGATACAACAGTTCAGAGCTTAATCTGGAAAATTTTGCCCTTACATGATTTCGACAATTTTGCTGTTACACACAGTCGCACTAAACTAAAGTATGCACAGCGGTTGTGAATCCCTAGCTTAGACATTACGTAATAGTCACCGAGCTAAACTAGTTGACCATAACTACTGAATATTGAATTTGATTCTCAATGGGTACCTTACACTTGCGGGCTTGTGCTAAATCTAAGTTTAATAACAACAAAATATGAGACGGGAGCCATTACAGAACCACTTGGGGAATGTGATGAAGGAGATAGGAATTTTAACAAACCAAAATTTTTCAGAATTCAATTAATGTTCTTGTGTCTGAGGTCTTCTGAACTGTTTGATCTCGCTTTCCTGTCGATTTCCATATCTGGACACGGACAGTTCCTCACTTTCCTCTCCAGTTCTCAGCCCGCAGGTAGCACGTTCGAATCACTACCAGCGTGGCAACACCATCACTCTGGGAGCGATATATATTTTCTTTATTACTATCATCTTTGTGCCATTATTCCACCTAGTGTATTAGTTTTCTCGCACCGTCTACCACCGCTACTATCGGACATATTTCACTTGCAATATTCCACTCTTCTCGCGTTTCCAGATCTTCTTTTTAACGATGGCGATATTTCGCCCTTCCTTCCAACATTCTGGGGTGGGAGAAGCCTCCCGGCCACAAGAGGCATTATGGTGTAGTGAAGATTGTGGTCAATGGACAGTGGATGGAAGGGTGCGTTGAAAAGTCCAGTATAGAGAGTGACCGGTTGATGGGGGGGTATCGGTATAATCGCGGGTAAAGGCTGCAAAGAAAGCAGAGACGAGGAGGAAGACAGCGGTGGTCCCATATCACATATGTGACTAATCGTGGGCGAATAGGGGAGCAAATGGTGCTGGCTGGGTGAGGCTCGTTTTCCTGATCTCTTCATTCCAGTCTTCTTTCGCAATCTTCTGCTCGATTACTCTCGCCTTGCACGTACTGCCAACAACACTTGGCGTTAAAGCTGGTGCTCCTCCCACTACTCCCTCCAGTTTTCTCTCCCTGCCACCCACCATTCAGTAACCTACTGTAGTCGCCTTTCCCGCCCATAACTTAAGTCTGGAGCGCTGTGTCGATTTAGAGACGTCCGTCCCTGATAAAGCAATGGGAGAGAGAGAGGAAAGGATGATGGCGGTGGTAGCGGTTAGAGAGGAGGTGATTAGGGACTTTTCCTCTTCTCGTTTATGTTGCAGCGCTTCGACGTAATGCGACCGGCATTGTTCAGTCTTTTTTATCGGGAGACTATAGGAAGAAATGTGAAAAAAATAGTGAAATTGATTTGCGAACAGACATCGGTGAAAATAAGTCTTGATGGATAACGAAATTCACCTGCGCGTTGTTATCCCTTTTTATATATATATATATATATATATATATATATATATATATATATTAAAATTTTCACAGAATCAAAATCGAAATTATGACCAGATTTAGTTGTGTGTAAATTGTACAATATTGTCATTTTGCGCTGATGAATGAATTTTCAGCGCAAAATGACACCTCGAAGCCCACTACTACAACTACATCAGTGAAAGGCACACTTTCAGCTGCCCCTGATAATTCTTTTGGTCGCATCTTTCTACCAAATAGCCATTAGACCGAACGTATCTCCAATAATTTAAATGCGCTAAAAATTAAAACTACAATATTACCTACTAGAACTACCCGTAGTTTATTAAATAACACCAGCAACCAACATATTACATCCGATGCTTGCATCTATCAAATCTCATGCAACAACTGTGACTTAAAATATGTGGGTGAAACATTTAGGTCCGTAAAATCTCGTGTTTTCGAACATAAACGAGATATTCGCCTCGGTAATTTAAACAATGCTTTATTTGTACACACAACTAAATCTGGTCATATATATATATATATATATATATATATATATATATATATATATATATATATATATATCAATTTAAATCCATAAAAGGCAGTAAAGCCACTCACACTCAAAGGGTTACTGGTTGTGGAAGAATTAGAAACAGAAACTTTACTAATGAGCGAGAAAAAGAGTAACCAGGAGGACAGTAGACAGTGATTGACATTGCATTTAAATTGAGAAAAGTTTATTTATGCAAATAATTTAACTATAAACTAACAAGCCATCTTTTACCCCAGTTAACAGCAGACTGAAGGTCGTTTTGGACATTGGCTGACATTTTGCCTTATCGAACTGATCATCCTTACTATTCGAAACAGGAGTAAATGGTTGGGTCATCAGCATAGATACGAAGTCGAGAGTTGATGCCATCGGGAAGGTTATTAATGAAAAAAATAGGACCATTGATGGAACCCAGGGGGACATCCACATTAGTACGATAGGATCAAGACGAATAGCCATTCAGGATAATCAAAATAGAAACCGTATCACTTGAGGACTTGCAACAACCGCAATAACTCAAATGGATAGCACATGTAACTCGACAAGAAAATAATATCTTAATTAAGATGTTAATATATATTTTTAATCGATTCCACCCCATACAAGGCAATAAGGCCACTGAGACACAAACAGTTACTGCTCGTGAAAGAATTAGAAACAGAATCTTTACTAATGAGTAAGAACAAAAAGTTTAATCAAGAGGACAGTAGACAGTGATTGACATTGCATTTAAATTTTTGAAGATTAAAGTTAACTGGAAGGCATGAAACTGGAAAGAAGTTCCACAATTTTTAATCATAGTTTAGTACGAGACTGAGAAACTTCGAAAATAAAAAAAATAACAAAGCTGCTGTAGACACTTCGATTGTAACGTCGAATTATACGTTCATTTTTTTACGTTTTCAATTGAGTATAATTATGTATATAACATATATTGATATAAATGTAATTTTTATTTCCGTTTTTAGTTATTTTACCCCCAAACAAGGCGATAATGCCACTAAGACGCAAGGGTAAATCGGAGTGAAAGAGGATGGAATGAATTTAGTGAGTAGAAAGGACAATAAAAGCATAAGATCCAGGAGAACAGAAGATGGCGATTATATATATAAAGCAACGTCTGCTTTTAAATTTTTAATGAACGTGGTTGGCATTAAAACAAAAAAATAGAAGCAAGAGAGTTTCACAGATGCGAGGCGCCAGAAAATAAAATATTAGAATCCAACTTACGGTTGCATCTAGCTATTTCAACATTAAAACGATGATACCTAACAGCCAATCTAGTAGAACGTTTTCATTCATGTGGTCGAGATACCAAAGGGGAGAGCATATTATAATAAATACCATGACAATATTTATAGAAAAGATAGAGTGTAGCCACATCAGGGCAGTGGGAATGTGACAAAAGTCGAGCATCCAGGTCAGGATGATAATATTACAAATTATTCTTTGGATTTATCGAGAATCTCAAGATATATAGCTGAAGCACCAGAACAGATTATGACGAATATTCAATGCAGGGACGAATGGTAGATTTATAAATGTGCAAATGGATTCTGAAGAGAAAAAAAATCCTGACACGATACAATGAAGCAGCAGACCTAACAATTGATTCAATATAAACCCATAACCACTTTGGTAACCCGCATATTAGTAAACCCCGACGTACCTGACAGATATATAGACACATAAAAAGTACAATGTCCGACAATCAATTAGAACCGGTATCTTCCAACCAAACCAGTTTCATACAGGCGATATCAGTCAAACCACCTGTATTCATCGAACCCAACGTGCTAGTGTGAGTTTTCCATAATGAAAGCATGCGCATAAAGGTGACAAAACAAAGATTTTACTATATATTGGCTTCTCTACGCCCAGGTATTATCAGGAAAATGAAACCAGCAGTATTACAACAAAGCAATTACGAAACACTTTATGTTAGTAGAAAAAGTAATACAAAGAACGTTGTTCTCCTGCAGGTTAGCATCAGCTCTGGTGATAGAGGGCAAACATTTATATAAATAGGAATTTCTTATTACTAGAAACTTTATTTTTTGTGTGTACACATGTTTGAATTGCTAACCATTTTTGTCATCTTTGTAAAATAAAACCATTGTTATTCTAAAAAAAATGGAAACGGAATGTTCACTAGCAAAAAAGAATTCTTCTTAAAATCCAAAATATTTTACGCTTTAAAATAACCCACAAGGGGTTGATAAGTCATTAAAAATAAATCAGTCAATTTTTAACTACATTTTTATTCGATTATATTAGGTTAATGCAAATGTTACCCGTATTTTTTAACAAATTCTAGCATCGTTATTCAAGGTGAAAATATCATCCTTGGATTACGAGGCCTCACCGCAAACACATTAAACTTTTTTATTATAACATCATATATTTTTGTAATCAAGCAAGGCAATAAAGCTACTAAGACACAAGTTGCTACTGAGTGTGAAAGAATAAGAAAAAAAAAACTGCCTAGACACAGAAGTCCTGTAATGCTCTATATCCTCATGTGGCTAATCTGTTAGCTGCACTGTTCGTCTACGGAAGTGATTTCCATGATGGAAAAAGAAGTACCTTTTCGATTCTTGTCAGGAGGTGGGGGCGGGTTTTCTTTAGAAGGACTTCTAGTTGCACGCGCGTTGTTTTTAATTTCACCGTTATTTTCATTTTATCTTCTTTTTATTGTAATCGGTTTTTATTTCGGCTGATTTTTTCAAAGTTGATAATAAAACATAAATGAACGAAAATATATGTTGCTGCCACTTTGAAAGAACAGAATGTTTGGAAGTCGTTTATAAAGACTAATAAATAATAAAAGACTAATAAATAATAAAAGACTAATTAATTACGAGATTAAATCAGTCATAAAGGCTAAAAAAGACGACAGAAACAACCCAACATGCGAAATTCGAACTGGAGACACAAAAATTGAGCGAGTACAAAAAGTTAAATATCTCTTACTTCTACGGAAAGTGCTCGGACCAACTACATTCCCTGGTCTCACCAGTTCAAACCTTTACGGCAAGGACAGGTCATGCCACTTTCATAGTAACAGTTTCATCTGCGAACCACTGCTCTTTAGAACTGACTCCCAAGAGGATATTTCTGCGATTACTGCAATCTTAGCCTGTTTAAGTCTAGGGTTAATCATCTTCCGCTTCTATACGAAGCAAACTGCCTCCTAACATATCCATCTACCTCGAGTGACCCCTGAGCCTTGTAAAGTGTGAATCTTATTTTAAAATTTTTTAATAAATCTAGGAAATATTTTGTCAGAGAACGGAAAATGCCACATCGAAATCTGAAGCCACATTTGAATAGTAAAAAAAAAATACTAAGGAAAAATTACCGTGTACGTCGGCGTTCACTGCAACCTTTTAAACTTGCCCCCACACATAAAAATATTGGGGCGTCTTATACTTTAGCTATAAAATGCAAACCTTTAAAAGTCCTGTAGTTTATGGCAAGTTGTTAGCATGGGAGATTTTTGACGTTAGACTAAACCCTGCCTTGATAACTATCGACACAAATATTTTCTACTGAAACCACTTAATTCACATTATTATTATAAAATGAGAAAAGCATATTGTTTTAAAAGTATTCTTACCATATAAAATATGTGCTATGATTGCACGACAACAATAAAAAAAAAGCATATTCGTCAAGAGAGAAATCCAAAACGATAGTCACACAAAGCAACTGCTAGTCTATACAATATATTTTAAAATACAATCGAGTTGGGGTCGTCTTATACGGCCAATATTGCCCGAAAACTATATTTAAACTTGAAAATTTGCGAGTCGTCTTATACGCCAGGTTGCCTAGTATGCCAGCCTGTACGTTATTGCTTAGCGCAACAAAAGACATGAAGCTGTAGAGAGCCATGATCGCTTATTTCCTGAAGAGAAATGACTATCACACACACACACACACACACACACACACACACACAGAGAGAGAGAGAGAGAGAGAGAGAGAGAGAAGCAAACAGACAGATATATATAATTGGAGGGATGTGTGAACTGATTGATCGTTAATCAATAATTTAATTTTGTTAACAGCAAATCGAGTCAACTGAAGTCGAGAATCAATTCTATATTGTCAAATAAAAGAGCTGTGCAATGGTTAACAAGTTTGTCTTGCGGTTTGATTAATTGTCAAGTGGAGCCTGTTCAAAGCTGAACCGAGGGGAGGAAAGAGCCAGTTGCAGATAAATTATGCACCGTTGTTGCTCTCATTTTTGCTGGCTAAAGATATTTAATTTCATGACTATATTTTATTTTATATAATTTTTATTTTACATTACTCTAAGAGAGGTTTTACTATCAACCAATTCACACTCTTCCCCGGTCTTTTAACAGGCGGAGAGGTTTATCCCTTGTTTCCTGTTTAGGATTGGGTTTCTGTTTTTTTTTTCTAAAGTCTGCTCCATCTCTGTACTCCTAACAACTACAAGCGAACTCTAAAATGTTATTCTCTGTTTATTTAATTTTACCTTATTTTTTTCTCTTCCCCACCAATTGAAGTAGATATGTTCGCCTATCATTCGGTCTTTTGAACAGGGGTAAAAGCTTAGCTTTGTTTTCTGCTTAGGATTTGGCTTCCGTTTCCTTCTAAAGTCTTTTTATTCTTTTTGCCATCCAGTAGCCCCTTGCGTTATATTGGCATTATTGCCTTGCTTAGGGTGAATTGATTAAAAATGCGCCCTTAGCAGAGTCTAGAATACGCCGTCTGTACCCGCTGAAGAAGGCTAAGACCTACATGAAGAGATTCCGATATTAAATAAGTCATAACGTATTGATAAGTCGAAAATCCACCAACAGAACCAAATCTAATATGAAGTTTTTGTATTAGAAAATTACTAAATGTTACATCGACTATCTAAATAGTGACCCATATGGAAACATTTATTTTAGATACGAAACAGGTTTCGAATTTTTATTAGCTGGTTTCTACATAAGAAAGGTGCAGGTTCGAATGTCATTACGATTTGCTGTAGCTGAAAAAGATCCTTCTAGCCAAATATTTTTATTAGCTTAACAAAATTTAGAGATCTTTACATTATATTTCTTAATTGATAATCACTAATTTAGATGATGAATGCACGTTGTAACATCGTCCTTGAAATGACTCCATTTTTTTCTGTAGAATCTGGCAAGTTACATGGCGGCGTATTTACAACACTACAACGTTCTCACCACGTTGAGGGTAGTCTGCAAAATATGTCTTTTTCAACCTCTTTATAATGTTATATCAACGCCATTTTGTGCGCTGGGATGATGTAATATATTGAACGGCGACGTAATGTCAAATTTACTTTGTGAATAATGTTACGGTTTCTTTAAAAAGCTATACTGGAAATATTTACATTAGAAAGACACTGCTATCATCTTTAATCTGAATCCACACAAAAAATGACCTTGATGGTATTCGTGCAATAGTCCTTAAGAAATATGCTCTTGAACTGTTTCCTGTTCTCTCTAAAACCATGCCTCTTGCGTTCCTACTTGTTAGAAATCCTCTTCTGTACTTCCATTCTTTAAGAACTCAGTTGAATCGTCTGATCATTCTAACTATCGAACTATTAACCTTCTACATCTTTTTGGTAAAATACTAGTGGCCCTAATCAACTCGGAATTGGTTAAGCATCTCACATCGCAGAGACTTCTTCCAGACAAACAATACGGCTTTCGCTTTTCTACTTCAACTGTTGATGTAATAAGGATTATTGCAGAAAGAGTTTATCAAGCTTTACATAGGAATATAAAAGTGCGTACTGTTGCTTTGGACACCAGAAAAGCATTCGACAGAGTTTGCCATGTTGGTCTTCTTCACACGTTGAAAGGTTATGGTATTTCTGAGAACAGTTTTTCAACTGATTCAGTTTTTTTTTGTTTTTTTTAACCGCGAAATGAAATTTGTCTTAACTTGACCACACTTCTAGATCTTTTTGCATTAATGCAAGTGTCATCCAGGGTTCTATCATTGACCTACTTTTTTCTAATTTTCATCAGTGACCTTCCGGATGGCAACTTGATATCTATGCTGATGGCAGAACTATTTAATCCTGTCTAAACAGTAAGTCTGATCGGTTCGATAAGATTGGCAGCTGATCTCATAAATGAGCTACAATTAGCTCTTAACTGGGCCAAAGAATGTCTTGTTAATTTTAACGCATCCAAAGCGAAACCTCTTCATTAATCATCTGAGAGACTCCATCGGCATGACTGATGCTAATCCCCAAGAGAGTGACACCTGGCGCCTTCTCGGGTTAATATTCTCGGCTGACATAAAGTGGAAAGATTATATTGAATTTCTAGGTTTGTTGTTAAAGAACTTGGTTTACTGTGTCATAGTCGACAATTCTTCTCTCCAGAATATGTCTTACATATATATAAGTCTACTATTCGTTCTTTCTTTGAATGTTGCTTCCACATATGACCTCTTGTACCTGCTATATATTTAGAGATTCTTGGTCAAACCCAAAGAAGAATCCGGATTTTTATTGGTCAAGACCTGCCATCTTTTCTTCAGTCATTTTCCTACCGCCGTAATGTAGCTTCCCTGTGTTTTTTCTATACATAATTTCGTGGTAATTATTGTTTAATACCTAGATTTTTATGAATTTAAGCGCAATTCTAGATTTATTGTTGAATTGGCTCGATGTAACCGTAGGTTCTATGCTTACAGTTTCTTCTATCACACTCGCTCGTCGATCTCTCTTTTGGCTTCTTGCTTTCCAGTCAACTTTGATATTCAAACATTTAAATGCAACGTCAATGGTTATCTACTATCTCCTTATTCTTCTCCTTTTAGTCTCTTCTCGCTTATTAATAATGTTTCTCTTTTTCTTATTATTTCACAGCTTGTGTCTTAGTTGCTTTACTGCCTTGATTGGGCTGAAATGAATAGAAAAGATATGATTGTTTAAAAAAAACATTCCGTTTAAAAGCGTTGTGGTAAGGACATAGAAGTCCAGGGAAAATAGTTTTACCATTGAATAACGATGTTAGATATTGTTAAAAAATTTTGGTAACATTTGTATTAACCTAATATAATCGTATAAAAATGTAGCAGAAAGTTTTGGATTGAATGACTGATTTTATGGTTTATCAACCCTTTGTGGATTATTTAAAGCCGTAACATATTTTGTATTGTAAGAATAATTCTTTTTTGCAACTGAATATTGCATTAACATTTTTTTTTAAATAGCAGTTATTTTTTCAGATACTATTATTTTCCTACCGCTGTAATGTAGCTTCCCTGTGTTTTTCTATGCATAATTTCATGGTAATTGTTGTTTAATACCTAGATTTTTATGAATTTAAGCGCAATTAGATTTCCCAATTTTATTTGTACCTAGTGAACCAGACTGGAATCCATCTAGGCTTTCCGATTTCTAAGCCGATATTCATTGCCTAAAAGTGGGCATGAGGCCATCAAAAAGAAAAGCAAATACGCTTATAACTGTAAACTGATTCTATGATTTTTTCAAAACATCAGCCAAGAATTTGATAGTAAAAGATTAGAATATATATATAAATAAATAAGCGGCAAATTCTGCCGGCCGTTTGTGTGTCTGAAACACACCCTCTAATTTGAGCCACGTTTGTTCTACATCAACATGGTAAATATTTTTGGAATCGGGATTGAAAATCTGCCCATCATCTGGTGTTTAAACATCCGGCATTGGGATCTGTGTCCGGATGAAAAGGGAATAATTAGAAATTCCAATTTTAAAATAACTGGGAAAAAGTTTTTTATTATTATTATTATTTATATTGAGTTTAAACTTACACAGACACTTTGTGAATTTTAAAAGATTGTTTTAAATTCAGTTTAAAATATCACCAAAATTTTTTTCTTCAAAATGCCAAAGAATCATAATTAAAGTGAGAGGTTTCTTGAAGTGAGGTATTGAAGTTCCACAGCAAACAATTGGAAGAACTAAACTCAACTGAAGTTGCACGGAATTTGAGATTTGAATAACTCAAATTCGGCTTGAATTGTAATTTCGACCAAAGTTTGATTTCGGTCCAAATCGGATTTTTTGGCCGGAATTGGACTTATAGCCCGAATCAGAGTCAAAGTGAGGTTTTGAAGTTCCATAGAGTGAATTGAGGAATTCAAAGTTATTTCTACAAAATTATCATTGTTGTTTTTCTAAGCTAGGCCAGAGGTTCCTTTAGTTTGGGGGACAGAGGCCAAATTAGACCTATACAGGAGCTAGCCTAAAAGCCCGTACGGATATGGATATTGAACTGTTAATGTACGTGTGAAGTTAAAGACCAATTGTAACCTCTATACAGATAAAAAAAAATCAATACGTCTGATTCACAGCCCATTAAAATGGAAGGATATCATTTAAATTTTTCTGCAAGTATAATGAAAGTTAACATTAGAAATCCATCTCATATTCCCACTACGCCAGTTAAAGGTGAAGAACAGGGAAGATTTAACTCTTGGGTTTTGGTCAGCAAAAAATCTAGGAGAAAGACGACTCAGAATACAAAACTGCATATGTATGTGGGGCTGGTAACGCCACTATTTAAAAACGTTACGGAAACCAGATTTTTTTTTTATCCTTTGCAGGGAAAGCAGTCAGCGTATTCTAAATCTTGTCGTCAAGTTACTAGCAGGTTAGTACAGAATCCATATTTTTCTGACGAATAAATAATTTTTAGGATGGCATTTAAAAGTCATCTCCGTTTGTCATGTGAGTACTATTTTTATTGAATACTCAGTAAAACGGCCTTGATACTCCACTATGCCTGACTTTGTACCAGACTGCACAAGCATAATTATTATCTACAAAATGAGACATTCTGCAGAGCACAAATTCAAAAATGGCAACAAAGTGCTTAAAGAAAAATGTGGTTTAGCTCAAATGTAAAACGCTCTTCAGTTAGCATCGGCAGGATTCCATTTTGTAGAAAATTGAAACCAAGCTGCAAATTTTGTTGTTCATTCGTGTATTAAATAGCAGGCATCACGACTGATCATCATTAACAAGCAAAGTTTAAGACGACGTACGATTTTTCCCTTTTCTAAGTAGAATTCATTATGGGGGGGAGACAGACAGAGACAGAGACAGAGGAAGTGAGGGAGAGAGAGTGAGAAATAAGAAAGGTTGTAATGAGCAAATAAGAAGACAGGCGGAATTGGGAGGGTGGTAAGTGAGAAGATGTGCCCAAATGCGAAATTGGAGGAGAGAACAAAAAAAAACAGATAAGAAAAGGAAAAAAAAAGGAGAGACGCGAGAAATGTTTGCTATGGTTTCCATATAAGCATAACCATCTTGTGATCTAAAGAACACAAGAGCATGGTAATGACAGAGAAGGTAATAGATGATTATCCAAGAAGATAGATAGATAGATACATAGATAGAAGAAAATGGGACAAACTGGGATAAATAAAAATAAATATATATATATATATATATATATATATATATATATATATATATATATATATATATATATATATATATATACCGCGTGTAACGGCAAAATTGTCCAAATCGTGTTAAATCAAAATTGTACAATTGTTAGATAAAGCTTTGAACTGTTGCATCTTAGAAATGTTTAAAGATATCTTACTGGAATTCTCTGAGGTTTTTAGAACACTATTGGGATCTACTTTGATGTATAATTACTCTCTAAGCTTAACAGAAGATGACCCTCGCCCTCTCTAACCTTCTAGTTTTCTGTCCTGGAATAAGGTACCTCACAGGTTTTACGTACGATTTCATTTCAAGTCTTTTTTTCTCTTTCCACTGTTATAGCTGAAACTCCTCTCTCACATGCCAAACGTCTTATGGATTGAATTGGATCTTTTCTAATCGATCTATTTAGGTGAAAGTTGAAATAATGATCTCACTTCCTGTTGTGACCTCCTGATTCAGTTTACCGCTCCCTCTTTTTTCACTGTTCTCTGGATAGTTCTTGAATGGGCTTTGAAGATGGAAGCCAGAGTATGAATGTTGGTACCATTATTGAATGCCTTAATGATCTTTTTACCCTCACCATTGGTCAGTTGAGAAGACAGTGGTGATGATACAAAACGTTTTTAACCTGTTCCCCTTGTAGCTGAATAACTCAAACGATATATTTGTGATTCGTACGACAAATGATGTCAAGATGGCTAAACGTTTTATCTGAAAACCTGGCAAAAAGAAATTCAGTTAATTTAATGTGTTTTTTTTTTTAGATATTAAACATTTTGTTGGATGGGCAATTATGCTGTTACATGATTTAGACAATCTTGCTCTTACGCCCGGTGTATATATATATATATATATATATATATATATATATATATAGATATATATATGTTTGTGTGTGTGTGTGTGTCTGTGTGTGTGTGAAAGAGTGAGAGAGTGCGTGTGTGCGCGTGTGTTTGTGTTTGATAGAAAAAATCACAAATATTATGTCTGCTTATTTTTATTATAATCCTTTCATATTCACGAATATTTTTGTAACACTGTTACAGTGCATTTCTTGTGTCATTTTGATTGTAATATACGGAAAGTATTCGTAAATGTTAAAGGATTACAATAAAATAGGCAGACATAATGTTTGTCCTTTATTCTATCAGACAAACCTAAAGGGAGTTTCTGCCTATATATATATATATATATATATATATATATATATATATGAAATATGTATCATATATATATATATATATATGAGATACATATTTCTAATAAATTAACAATTAACAAAACATGAACGAAGAAAAAATAAAATAAATGAAAAGGTCAAATAAAATGTGCTAGAGAAGCAGAAAGGTTTAAAGAAAAACAAAATGAATCGTATGATCAAAAAGGAAAAGATTACGAATTTTGTAGATGAAGAAAGAAAAAAAAACCGAAAGAAATTGTTTAGTAGAATGAACTAAATAGCGACCGGGTTTATAACTCTCACACTTTTAATTTCCCCTGATAACGTGTGTGATAACGTAAATAATAGAGTGGATATATTTGTGAGTATGACGTCGGCGAGAATTTAGCAAACCAACATTGCATACAGATAGATCGGCATTCAACTTCTGTTTGTATCCTGCAATCTGACCTGCCCCACTTGATCATGTTCTTCCTAACCACTCCCCTTACATGTAACAACCCTTACTGCAGCCATTTCTCTTCTTACATCAATCTGATATCAAAGTAAAGATGCCGTCCACCCAACCTCTGCGAAATAGTTTTTCCCCATCTTTCGAAGTCTTTCTTCTCATTCCATACGCTTTTGTCTGGCCCCTATACATCAATCGTACAACGTCTAACAAAGAAATTCGCTCTTTCGTAAGACCAGATCCGCGGCACCCTCCGCCTCACCCCCACCTTACCACCTACCGTTTCGACCTTCGGAATCTTCAGTTATCATTTTCATCTTCCTCGTTTTCATTGCATTTTGAGGAACCCTTTCTCTAGCATCATATCCAATTTTAAATCGGCTCCCGGACCCGACCTTGTCCCTCTTATCGTATGCTACATAGAACGTTTCGGCCCGGACACTTGCTTGGTCTATGTATCGTATCTATTGTCCGACGCACAGACAGACTGGAAGAGAGAGAAAGACAAGTGGTTGGAGAGCCAGTTGTATGTTGGGTCTGGTTAGCAATGAATTAATAGCCAAGATACGAAATGAATGTTAATGTTGTAAGTAATCCACTAAGCGAAGGAAAGAATTCTCTTCAAAAATAGTGCCGAATCAACATTTTCTGTGACTGGAGTTATCTTTGTACGATGCCCGTCTTCCGCTATCAAAATGGAATCTCTCGCGTTTTTTTATTTGTTTTTTTTTCTATTCTTTTTCTTCTGCGAGAAGGGGAGAAATTTAACCGCGAATGTCCTTTTTAATTTATGTATCGAGTGGAAACGATGAAGATGTGAGACGTTAAAGTTTAAATTCAAAATGTGAGATAATTAAAAACAAATGTGTAGCGAAACAGAATTAAATTGGCTAGGCTATGATTCTAGACACGTCTGACGAAAAAAATAAAAAATCATTTTAAATTCTAAAATTCAGCGATCTCATCTTTACAGCTTCTCCGCTCAGTCAGTCCATTATGTGCCATGTCTGATACATGCTTAGGCGATCATGTATCTTTCGATACATGACTGACAAGGCAGATTTTTTTCCTGCAGTAGGTTGCCATTTCTTTCTTTCTGCGGTAGACCAGTTGCCATGCAGAACCCGATCTGTCCTGATATTTACCCATATCTGTGGGGAGAAGAAGAGAATTCATACCTTTCCCAAGGGTATTAGCACGTAAGTGAATGTAATGGATTCGACTGGAATTCGAACTCGGCTCTCCGATTCCTCAATCCGAGCCGCTATCCATTACTCCACCATCTTGACTATGCTCGAATATATATATCCCCTCATCCTGCTTGTATATAATTTCATCAATAAAAAAATATCTTTAGTTTGAGGAAGTCATTAAAATAAAAAGCTTAAAATATTTTTCTTCCATTTTTCATTAAACTGCCCAACATGTTTCTCATATATAACACAAGTGTTTTCTTTACTATGTAAAACTGTCCAAATGATTTGTAATTCCGAGCACTTTCGGCTAGGATCTTTTTTTACATGAGGATGAGGTTATTTTGCTTGCATTATACGAGTTCAAATGCCTCGTAAGAAACACTGTTCCTGATCAAACCAAACTCATAAACAGTTACAACGGTCACACTACTACATGCCTATCTACACGATTTACGTTACACCTATCCGACCGCAGCTCCATTAAAACACATTTACACACACACAGCTTATCGGACTACATGCGAAACATACTAGTAGAAAATACAGCCTAATAACCTCATCCACAGGTAAAAAATGATTAAAAATGATGGAAGCCTTAATAATAAAAAAGTAAAATCCATCATACAATAATATTAACTACAAACACGGCCACAATGTGCTGACTGTGTTCGTAAAATAAAACATTCCTATAACTCTAGATACATACACACAACCCATACACCCAATTAAATAGAGAAAAAAAACAAAATTATCCTTGATAATGGCTAAAAGTATAGCCGAAAGCGCTCTGAATTACAGAACATTTGGACAGTTTCTACATACCTTTTGTACAGAAAAGAAAACACTTGTTCGAAAACAAGAAATTTTTTTAAAAAAAGCTTAATCGCAGTATCTTGTCTGTCGTCTTTAATGAAACATGTATAAAGGAGGGATTGTTGCCTAAATACACAATATATATATATACATATATATATATATATATATATATATATATATATATATATATATATTGAGATCAAATGTGCATTAGACTCCCTGTGAATGGGGAGATAAGGAACTATTAAAAAACGTGTATAAATTTAACATGTTTCGCTTAATAAAAAATTCAGAAAATATATATGGAAGAGAGCTCCAGTACTTTTAGTTCAGCCCCACATGATGTCTCTATGACTAATGAAAAGCAAACAACGCAGAGCTTGACAATTTATGTGGAGAAATTTGTCACTTAGTGGTGTTATTTCGCTCTAGCCGACTTCGAAGTTTCGTGAACGCATTGTTGTAATGCCTTCACTCTTCAGGGCTATTGGTTTGTCTCTCGTTCACGAAGGTTCGAAGTCGGCATGACTGAACCAACAACACTCATTTAAGGGATAAGTTTCTCCACATTAATTCTATCCTTAATTTTTTATATCGAGCCCTTTAAGACAAAAAACTGTCTGCCTAAAAGTCCTTTGCATCAGTGAACTACGGAAATATTACCAGCAATTTTTATACACACACACACACACACACACACACACACACACACACACACACATATATATATATATATATATATATATATATATATATATATATATATATGTATGTGTGTGTGTGTGTGTATGTATATATATATAGTCGACTCTCCCGTCGAGTTCGACGTATGAGGTTCATGCAGATCAGTTCCCAGGAAACCGACAGCCCGACAACAGCACATGAGATTTGATTATAGTGGTGAAGGTTTCGTGCAGGACCAGCCACACTTTTTGAAGGTCCGAATTCAGAAACCTGTTGCACTAAGTGCCACAAGGTCACCAAACGACCCTCCGCAGATTCGGAGTTGTCCTTCTCCTAGACCAGTTGCCCTCCAAGGCTATAGAATCCAGTCTGTCCTGCTATTTATCCATATATATATATATATATATATATATATATATATATATATATATATATATATATATATGTGTCTGTGTGTGTGTGTGTGTATAGGTTTTTTGTATTAAAGGGCTCGATATATATATATATATAT